CAGCCACAGAAATATCTCGGGACAAAAAACTAGATTCTTTTTGAAAAATCTGTGTAGGAATAGTTAATAATAACGATAACTATAATGACCGTATAGTGATATGCTAGAAGTATTAACATCTAAATTGTCCTTAAACAACACATTCTGCAGAGAAGTAGTGAGATTGGCGTGTAATGTAGTGTGGTGGTGCAGCCCAAACATGTGAGGAAGAGTTCTTTTCACTTGACCGCGCGCAAATTTGGGGGGTACTGTGATTGCCTGACAACCTGAACTTATAATCTTGTGGGTATCGATCGACGCCAGTCGTTGACGCTCTAGGGAAAAAGGCGTTTAGAAGTGAGTGCGGCCGATTTCTGAGCACCGATCGATACCTACACTTTCCCTTTCGATCAAAGTGATGAGAGCTCCGGTGCTGCTGCTCCCTGGTCGCTAACAATAAGTATGGAACGCAGTGTACCCTCCAGCCTCGTTCCCGTGCACATCGAAGGGCAGGAAGTGACCCGCTGCTGCAGCTGCAGGCCCATTATTCTCGCACATGACAACGATCAGAATTCACAGTGGTCGATGTAAGGGTTCGATTTCAAGAAAATAACCTAGAATTCTGAAAAGAATGGCGGTCGAGAAGGGGAAGAGGAGAAAGCGAGAGGAAATGAATGATACAAGCCGGGAAAGTCGAATTTCATATTTTAATAAACAAGGTCACTTTCGCCTTAGAAGTGTATTTCGCGATGACCGGATAGGCGAGAATAGAGAAACACGACCATTGTTTCTTCTTCACTGACAGCCGTTCCTCATTAGATAGAACACGAACAAGTGACAGATGCACAATGGCTGTGATTCTCCGCCCCTTTTATTACTGTGAAAATGTGTTTATGGGAATGTCTAGGTAAACCGTTATAGTGAAACAGGCAGTGCTTGGGTATGGACGACATTCGAAACAACTCCAAAAATGTCGACATATCTTCTTGCCATTGCTGTTGGCGAATTTGAATATATCCAAGGGTATACCAAGGAGGGAGTAAGAGTACGTGTTTTCCTCCGTTCTTCTGTTTCTCTTCTTGTAGACGGTACTTTTACATTTCATTTTTTTCAGTTCCGAGTGTGGTCACGTCCAGAAGCGATTAATATGACGCAATTAGCGTGTAAAATTGGCGTCCAATGTCTGCACTTTTTCGAGGAATACTTCGATATCAAATTTCCACTACAAAAACAGGGTAGGGTGCGCTAACAGTACAACTCAGGATAAGAGCCTGAACAACAGACATACGAGCCCAGAAAAGGGAAGGTCCTTGTCACATCTCGTCCCATATCCTGCCTAACTGCGGGACCTGAAGGCACAGTGTACAATCATTCTAGACGTTCTTCTTCTTCTAATAGGATGCGCAGGCTCTTATCCAGCTAGGAGGTGCTTCTTCTTTTAATATAGTGGGGAAGAGCGCTGGGGACTTGTATCGAAGGGTGCCCTTCACCATATGCGCGAGGTTTCCGCCCACTTTACAACCGCGCGAAGTGCGACAGGAGAGATGATAAAGATCCCAAAGGTAAAAGGGATGGGAGAGGGAAGGAGAAGGTATCTCATCGACATCATAGTGCAAAAAT